GGTGGGCTGCAGCTGGGCCCACCCAAGGGAGCCAGTGAGGCTGGGCTGGGAGGGGTGGGCTAGGGGCAAATGAACTCAGGGCAGGCAGCAAGGTCCCGTGAGGACCCGGGAGGCACCATGGGTACCCGTGTGTCCTTCAAGCCTCATGCAGCCCCAGAACCCTGAGGCAGGTTGTGCTATCTGCACCGAGAATGAAGTGACACTCCCCGGGCCACACAGCCAGCAATGCTCGGTGGGGCTCGAACACAGGCCTGCTGGTTCTGAGGCCTCTTGGGCGATACCTCATAGACTTCTGCAGAATGAAAGCATGAACGTGTTTGCAGAGTGAAATGAGCTAGGGCTGGGCATGAGACGCCTGAAGCAAACTGCCCTTCCCTGGACCTGGGGTTTCCTGGATTCCCAGTGATGGGACCAGCATGCACTCCAGTGGTCAGAGCAGGAATGCCTTCCAATCACCCCTGGACCTTGAGGGGGACAAGACTGGCTGGCAGACAAGTCCTTGTCCCTAGCCTCTTGCCATTCAAGATCCTTTATACATAGGCTCCGTTTTTAAATTTCTTGACACTCTGGTTCCAATGCCTCGCTTTTGTGGGAAGCCCAACTCCAACCTACTCCTATTTGTTCCTCAAAGCCCTGGCTCAAATGCCCCCTCCCCTAGGAAACCCTGACTGTCTCCCAAGGCAGAGCCAGCACCACCCCAGGAACCCATCCCCTGGCCCAGTCTCATGGGACTGGGGTGTCTCCTGGAGCCACGGAGCCATTTTCACTGTCTATTCTCCACCTTGTGTTCTCGTAGGCATCACAAGGTCCAGCACGCAGCAGGTGCTCCGTGAATGTTTTGTTGAGTGGATAAATCAATAAATGCATGATTGGGCTGGACTTAACCTCAGAATCGACCCAAGCCTGTGCTGGGTGATAATGAATTTTTGGCTGACTTATTTTGTGGGATGGGGCGGGAGGTAGGCTTCCTTCATTTTCCGAAACAAGGCCACCCCTGGCGGGCCTGACTCCCTTATCCCGTGGGTCACACTGTGGCACGGAGGCAGTCCTCCTTTGACCCCGGAACTGGCCTGTCCTCTGCACTCAGGGCACGAGTGTTTATGGAATACCTGTGTACCCGGCGCTGTCCTGAGGCCATCTGGGAACGAGACACAAGCGTCCCTTCTGTGGAGCCGGCCCTACAGTTTATCAGGTGGAAAGAAGTGCTATTGAGAAAGGCATCCTGGCAGGTGACACATTTGAGCAAAGGCTGGAGAAAAGCGAGAAGAAAGCCACGCTGGTGTGTGGGGTGCACCGGCCAAGGGGCACAGCCAGTGCAAAGGGCCGGAGGTGAGAGCGCGCCCGGCACCCCGCACCAGCGAGCACGGTGAGGGGACAGAAGGGCGGGCGCGGCGGTGGGAGACACCACGAGGGAAGTGAAAGCGACAGCCTGTTCCGGAGGAGAGCAGGGGCTCGACCCCACCCCAGGCACCGCCCGCCCCTTGGCCTCCTCGCCGCTTACAGCCGGGCCTCGCCCCCAGCCGCTCCCCGATCCGGGTTGCCAGGGAGACTCGGCCCCCGCCCCTCCCGGGCCCCCGCCCCTGGTCGTCCAGGCCCGGACCCCCCCACCCCTCCCGAAACCCCGCGCGAAAGGCGCCCGCGCTGAGTTTGTCCCTCGGCGGCTCCCGTTGCCCGGGCCGGCGCCTGCCGCGCGCGCCGCCAGCTTCGCTCCCGCGCGCTCTCCACCCCACGCCGTGCGTGCCTTGCGTGCCTTGCGTGAGCGTGCGCGGGCGCGTCGGCCGGCAAGGGAGCAGCAAACGGCCGGCGGCGGGCGCCGCGCGGGGGGCGGGCGGCGCGGAGGAGGCGGCAGTGGCCATGGCCGAGGCGTCGCCGCACCCCGGACGGTACTTCTGCCACTGCTGCTCGGTCGAGATCGTGCCGCGCCTGCCGGTGAGGCCCGGGCCGGGGCGGCGGGCGGGAGCGCTTGCTCTCGGCCTGAGGCGAGCGGGCTCCGACGGGGAAACTGAGGCCCGGGAGGCGTCGGCCCTGGTCTCTGCGGAGGGCCCGGAGGCGGGGTCCGCCGCCGGGGGCGCCGCGGTGCGGATGACCCCAGATGCGCGGCCTCCCGCCCCGGCAGGCCCCTCGGTCCCTGCTGGGGAAACTGAGGCCCGCGGAGGCCGCGTGACCTGCGCTCGGCGCGTCGCCCAGCAGGAGAGAGGTGGGGGGCCCCGGGGGCCGTTCCCGGAGCGCGTGGTCGGCGCTGCGGGCGCCTGGCTGCGGGCCGCCAGCTGGAGCCTTCCTTCCCGCTTTCCCGTGGTCGCGAATGGACGGGAAGGCGGTGGACCTGGGCCCGGCCTGACAGCTGCCCCGGGCGGCTCTTGGTGCCCCGGGCCTGCGTTTTTGGGCTTCCCTGGGGGGGGGGGGGGGGGGGGGCGCTGAGGCCGGCCTGTGGCCAGGTGTTGCTTTCTGCTCATTTAGGCCCACGTTTCCCAAACCGCGTGGTGCGGCAGGGGCTGCTTGTTAAAGGTACAGTTTCCCAGGCTCCTCATCCCGGAGGTCCAGAGTGGGACCCGTGTCCCCCTGCCCCAGGCTGGCAGGGAAAGCGGCGGTCTGGTCCGACCCTCTCCTCCTTGGAAGGTGCGGAAGGTGAAACCCTGGGAAGCTCAGGCCAGCGGTGGCCCTGACGTTTGCTCCTGGGCCGATCCCGCTGGGCAGGCAGAGGGAGGTGTGGGATCGGTGTCAGGACTTACTGAGCACCTCTCCGGGCTCTCCTCACACTTCTGCTCCGGCCAGGGTGCCCCCACAGTTGTCTGGCTGGTGGGTGGAGGCTGTTCCCATATCAGAGGCAGACTGGGGTCTGCCTTTCCAGCTGTGGGCACCCCTAGGAAGAGGGGGCCAGGGGGAGGCGTCTGTCCGCGTCATCCCAGCCACAGAGGAGGAAAGTGGGCTAAAGTCGGGGTTTGGAGCGGAGAGCAGTGTCTGCGCCCCCGAGCCTGGGAAAGGTAGGGAGGTGTGGCTTCCAGAGACGAGGGTCTCCCTCTTCCTCGGGAGAAGGAGGAATAAAAGGAAACCTCAGATGTGTGAGCACCTGCTGGGGGAGCTGAGACCTGCCCTACTCCCGCCCCTCCTGGAAGTCCCGCTTCTGCCTCTTTGGCTCGGCGTCTTTCTCCACCAGGGCGGGAAGGCGCTGGTCCCCTGACAGCTTGCCAGCCTAGCCTAATGGCATACAGCCCCTTGCAGCTGGTCTGAGCCCCGCGACGGCCCTGGGTCTCGGGCGTCCCCCACAGTGGCCTGCTTTGTGCTGGGGCCGGGCGGTCTGCACAGCTGTCCGCTCTGGGCCTCTCTCCCCTGGGGCCAACACAGGGCCTGGGTCCTGGCCAGGTGTGGCCACTGCCTCGCCCTGTGGCCTTGGACCTGGAGGACCCTGACCTTTTGTAGTTGTCACCAGGCTGGTGAGGACCTTCCTTAGCACGGAATCCAGTGATGTGGAGATATCCTTGGCCTTTGTCCTCAGAGTTCACAGGCTGGGCAGAGAGGCCGTGTTGGATACGTGATTGGCAGGTGTTTGGTTAGGACGCTGGTAGGTCCTGTAACAGCCAGTAGCAGTGAGGAGTGTGCCTGCTCGTGGGCCTGGGGTAGGGTTCCACGCGGCTCAGGAGACCGGCCGTTGATCCAAAGGGGGCACGCAGGGGGCGGAAACACAGGCTCCGTCGACGTGGTAGCAGGGGAAGGTGGCCCTGGGGTTCGCGTGCTGCAGGGCACTGGGGCTGGCTTTTGTGCAGTTCCTACCTTGGATTTTTGTCACCACTGAGGTCCCTCCAGAGGCCCTGAGACAGTGCTTGCTTTCAGGGACTTCTCTACAAGATCAGGCTGAGGTCGCCCCCAGCTGTGCCATGTCTCCACCATGTGGCTCTGGGCAAGGCTCTCCACTCCCTGGACCTCTGTTTCCTGGCCTGTGAGACAGGTTTGAGGAGCTAACCCGTGTCCGCTCCGTGGGGTCCAGTGGAAGCATGTGTGTGTGGAGGAGTGCCGGCCCTGACCCGCGGGGTGCACAGGGACAGGCTGGCGGCCTCACTGGGGCAGGGCATGTGGGAGCAGGAACCAGACAGGCTGGCTGGCTTGAAGGCCTCCGAGGCTGGCGCACAAGCCTGGACTCGATCCTTCCCAGGAGACGGCCGCGCTCGGGATGCAGCAGGGGTGCCGGCTTGGTTGGACGTGATTGCAGGGCTGTGGACGTGGCGCCTCTGAGGGCAGAGCCTGGCTGTGCCCGGCATCTGTAGGGCTTCCGGGAAGTCCCACCGGGTGGACAGAGCAGGTGGCAGCTTGGGGTCCTCACTCCCTGAGCTCCCTGTTGCAGGTGGTGCCTTAAGATGGCCCTCTTTCCACCTGTCACGTTGATGGTGACTGCTTTCCTTCTCAGAGATGTCCTGGGTGCGTGCTCAGACGGAGACCGGGCCTGGAGGGGTGCTGGGGCGAGGAGAGCCAGCCTGCCCTCACTCTCTTCACACATCCACTGCCCTTGCTCCTGGAGGGGCCTGGAGACATCCTGGCCTTCAGCTTTAAGCAGAATGAGTGGAGTCCTCCCCACAGAGCCCTGGGGCTGGGCCTGCCTCCCGGGCACCATGTGGCCTCGTTCTGGGCCCTCTGGCCAGCTGACAGCCGTGTTGGGCCCTGCCCATGGTGAGCTGTCCATTTGCAGCTCCAGAAACCGGGGCCCTGGGGAGGTTAAGGGTGGAACGGACTCCAGTGGCTTGCTGGACGCACGGAGCATGGAGTGGACGTCGGGCACCGGGGATGCCTAGGGAGCCCTGACATGTGGGCTGCCCCCATCCCGGGGAGCGTGGACCCCACCCTGCAGCCCCGAAGAGGGCTAATGTTTGCTCAGGCTCTGAAGTCAGCAGGGGCGGAAGCAGGCTGAGCCCCAAGGAGGTGGCTGGGTGCCGGGGTGAGCCGTGCCCTAGGGCACCCCAGGCCTCTGAGCCATGTGGCAGCTGAAGCGAGGGGACACCCCCAGCACAGTGGGCACATGTATCCTGTCATATGGGCTCCCGGCTAGCCGTGGAGTCTGAAGCACCCTGGGAAGGCGGAGGAAGGTGGGAATGGGGACCCCTGGGGGGAAGCGAGTGCTGGGCCGTGTGTGCACATCTTCGGCTCACAGCAGGCTTCATCCACGGCCGGGTCGTGGTATGGCTCTGCACCCAGGCGTCCAGCGGTGTGCACGGCGCTCACAGATGCTCAGGAGCAGATGGAGTGTGGACGTGGGACGTGGTGGTTGCTGCTTAGACCGCGAGAAGAAAGGGCAGGGGGGTTGGGGAGTGGTGAGGGGCAGGGTCTCCTTTCCTATGGGGTCTGGGCAGGTCCCTCTGCCCAGTGACTGCTGAGAACAGCTGCGTGGGGCAGCAGGTGGCTCCTGAGGTCCGTGGGCTGGTGGGGCACAGGCTGGGACACGGGGCTGCAGGGGCGTGGGAGGCCCATCACGGCTGTGTTTGGGCCTGAGTCTGTGTCCCTGTGGTGCGTCTGCACTGCAGTCGGAGTTGTGGCTCCTGCAGGGGGCCATGAGGGGCCCGGCCCACAGAGCCCAGCGTCACCCTAGAGCAGACCGTCCTGTGGGGCCTTGCCTGGCCATGCTGTGAAGGAGGTCGTAAATGAGGCCGGTGCCTGTTCCCGAGGGCTGTCCCAGCTGACCTGGGCTACCTGAGCAGGTCAGTCCCGTGTCTGCGCCCGCGTGTCCTCCTTGTCACTGAGGAGGGGCTGAGTCGCACCTCCTAGGCACGTGGGGGCTGAGCACAGGAGCAAGGCGCTCTGTGGATTGAGTGTCCGTCCTGTCCTCGGTGCTCTGGCCACCGCTGTTGGTGATGATGCTGGGGTGGTGCCCTCCTCCGAGGGGGAGAGGTCACTACTTCACCGAGAGGAGCCATGGGTTAGAGACAGGTGCTCACAGGTGAGGGCTGGGAGCCTGGGGCTGCCACCCCCTGGACCCAGGCTGGAGGGGCAGGCTCTGCCCCATGGCGGCAAAGCACTCCATCCAGGGTGTCCTTGCTGGGTTGCAGGCGTCTACTGTTGGCTACTCAGGATGAACAAAAATCTCTGGGGTGTGCCCTTGGAGGAGGAGAGCACTGGGACACCCCCAGACCTGGTCCCTTCCTCACTGCATACAGGCAGAGGCTGGAGTCCTGCCTGACATCTTAGGGGGCCCACGGCTTAGGCAGGCCAACCTGGATTCCGCCATGGGGCTTGCGCGGGGCTGGAGAGCGCTGAGGCAGGGCCCTGACCACGGCCAGCAGCTGAGCCCTAGTTCTCTGGTCCTCAGTGGCTGCTGGATCTCAGAGCCCTAGGGTTGAGGCCATCCTCCATTTACAGGTGGGGAGACCGAGGCTTGCAGCCAGGAGGTGACGTTTGAGCAGAGACCCGACTTCGAGCGGGGGCAAGCCAGGTAGCTATCCGGGAAGAACACTGACAAAGGGGACGGCGTGCAGGCCAGGCCGTGAGAAGAGAGGGCAGGCGGAGGTGGACTGGTGGGGGCAGGGCAGCGGGAGCGGCCGGGCTGGCCTGTCCTGAGCGGACCACAGGGCAGAGTGGAGAGCAGAGAGTGGGGTGAGGAGCTTGTGCTCCCCGGGACGCTCAGGAGCGGCCCCAAGCCTCATGGCGGGAGGAGAGGCGGCCTGTTTTGCAGCGGGTCGGGCTGCGCGGTTCGGGCTGAGGCCGCTGACACTCCGAGGCTGGCCGGGAGGGGTCAGGCGGGGGGCGGACATGGAGGCTGGGAGCGGCCGTGCTCGGATGGGAGGGGCGGCAGCTTCCCACGAAGGCCCTCCCTAGCCCTGCCGTGGCACCTGGTGGCGGCGGGCACAGGTCTGGTTTCCGTCTCTCCGGAGGGCAGGTGTGGGGCGGGAGGGCTGCAGCAGGGAACAGGGAGAGCCTGGACCTTCCTGCCGACCCTGAGCCGAAGCAGCCCTGGGTGACGCCCGGTACTGTCTGTGACATGGCCATGCCGAGCTGTGGTTTGGGTCCGGGCGTGCTAACCGAGGCCAGCCGCAGACACCTGCAGCCACAGCCGCCTGGTGCTAACCCTCCCTCCCCTAGAGGCTCTGCCAGGCAGTGAGAACCCGCGCCCTGAGGGCTGCTCGCTCCCTGTGCCACAAGCTGCCCCGTGACCCCACGTCCCTGTCATGAGTGCTCCTCCTCACGGCTTTGTTGACATACGACCCACCTGCTCACGGCGTGCTCTCCGGTGTTTCTTGTGTGCTCAGGAGCCCCGTACCCACCACCTCATCCAGTCCCAGAACTTTCCATCAGCCCCGAGGAAACCCCGTCCCCATCAGCCATCCCCTCCCCCAGCCCCTCAGCCCCCACGAGTCCCCTTCCCACCCGTGGAGGAGCCTGGTCTGGACGTGTCACGCGCGTGGACTCACACCCCGTGCGGCCTCCTGTGTCTGGTTCCCTCCCTGCGTGTTGTGGGCTCCGGGGTCTGTCCCCAGGGCAGCGCATGGGGGCCTCACTCCCGCTGGGGCCGGGGACGTGCCCGCACGTGGGTGGGCCACATCCCCCTGTCTGGGGACACTGCTTGTCAGCACCTTTTGGCTGCCGTGAGGCGTGTTGCTGTGGACGTGCACTTAGGGTTTGGTGGGACGTGTGTTTCCGTGTGTTCGGCCGTGTACGCGGCCGTGGACCCGCAGGGTCGTCGGGTGACTCCGTGTGCAACTGTCCGAGGAGCTGCGGGACTGTTTCCGAAGAGACTGTCCTGTGTCACGTCCCCGCCTGCGTGGCGGCCGGCTCCGACGTCTGCACGTCCTGGCCGGCACTTGTCACTGCGTGTCGGGGTCGGGCTGTCCGGGGGGCCGTGACGTGGCGTCTCCCCGGCTCTGGTTCGCATTTCCCTGCTCCCGACGGTGTGAGCGTCCTTCTGCCGGCGTCCTGCCCTCCTTGTGTCCTTGGAGAGCTGCCTGTTTTGGTTCTTCGGCCATTTTTGCACTGGGTGGTTTGTGGTTGTTGTTGAATTGTTAGGGTTTGTGTGAGTCCTGGACACTGGCTCCTGTGGCCTGTGCAGCTTCTTTCCATCTGGCTCAGACACTGTCCTTTGGGGCCCCCTTTGCTTTTGGTGTGGCCTGTGCTGTGGTTGCACCCACGGCCCTGACAGAGGGGCCTGGCACTCCCGCCTGTGCCCATGGCTCCTCTGGGGCCAGTCCCCCACTGTCCAGTCACGACAGCACCCATGGGCCAGAGGTGGGAAGGGGGCGTGCCAGTGGGAATGGGGTCATGGGCTCCGTGTGGGGGCTGCTAGAATGTTCCAGAAATGCCACTATGGGTGCCACAGGCTGGTCCTTGTCCCTGGTGGCACTTCCCACCTTAGGTGGCCCCCATCCTGGAACTTGGACTGTTGAGGCCTCCATAGTCCTGGGGCCCTAACGGTCACTCCTGCAACCCTTCCAGAGCTTGGTACAGGGGTCTCTGTGTGCACGTGGTGGGGAGAGGTGCTCACAGAATGTTTTCTGTCTGTCTAAGTCGGGAGCTGCTCAGTGGGCCCACAGCAGCTGGCCTGCTACAGGCCTTGTCAGAGCCTTTAACAGCTGGTGTGGGTGAGTGGAGACCCTGAAATGACTTCTGTGATCCTGAGGAGCATGGGCCGATGGACTGTGGGATGACAGGGAGGTGACCTGGGAGCCCGGGCCTCACTGGCACCAGGGGCAGCAGGTCCAGGGGTCACTAGTCATGGAGACACAGAGGTCGTCGCTGTGGCTGATGGAGGTCTGTGCTCATGCCCTCGCCAGGGCCACCCGGCAGGGCTTCTGCCAGTTCTGATGCTGGCCTGGGGCAGTTTCCCAGGTGTGCCTGGAGCTTCTGCTGTGTGCCACGGCTAGAGGTGGGGGGTCCCGCTAGTTCAGCCTGGGGCAGGGGCCCCGAGACAGCGCTCACCTGCTCTCTCCCTGCAGGATTACATCTGCCCCAGATGCGAGTCTGGCTTTATCGAGGAGCTTCCGGAAGAAACCAGGTGACACTGGCCGGACCAGGCCCCTCGGGGTGCGGGCGGGGTTGTGGCTGGGACACGGGGTGCCGCTCCGAGTGCTGGTTCTGTTCTGGGCGGGCAGAGCCTGGACGGGCCACGGCAGGCGGGCGGGGGTGTTGGGGAGTCAGCCTCTGCTTCCTGACCCGGGGCACGGGCAGGGCTTCAGAGGGGCATCGTGGCCCTGAGTCCCGGTGGGACACCCCCGGTGCTGACTTTGCCCTCGTCCTCCCAGGAGTACAGAAAATGGGTCTGCCCCCTCCACGGCCCCCCCAGACCAGAGCAGGCCGTCATTTGAGGTGAGTCCAGCCCCAGGTTGTGCGCCTTTCCTGCAGGCAGCCACCCAGCCCTCCCCTCACTGCGCAGGAGTGTCCCCCCGCCTGACCCTTGACCGCCGGGCCTGACCTTCTGCCCTCCTCCCACACACGCCAGGGTCCCCCGGCATGTCCCCATCCCCCAGAGCCCCGGGTCCGGGCAACACCCCACGGTGCATGGAGGACGCCTGGGCTCCCAGGTGGCAGCTCAGGGTCCTGGCCTGTGACCACGGCCCTTCCCCCGCAGAACGTGGACCAGCACCTGTTCACGCTGCCGCAGGGCTACGGCCAGTTTGCTTTCGGCATCTTTGACGACAGCTTCGAGATCCCCACGTTCCCCCCCGGGGTGCAGGCCGATGAGGGCAGGGACCCTGAGAGCCGGCGGGAGAGAGAGCAGCACTCCCGGCACCGGTATGGCGCCCGGCAGCCCCGCGCCCGCCTCACTGCACGGCGGGCTACCGGCCGGCACGAAGGCGTCCCCACGCTGGAAGGGTGAGGCGCCTGGGGGTAGCCGGCGGGTGGGATGCTCGGGGGAGTCTTGAGGCCTGCCCCGTCCCAGCTCAGGCGGACCGACCATCTGCCCTTCTGGAAGGTTCTGTGGGCACAGAGGGGTGGATGCTAGCTCTGGGGCTGACCTCTGGGCAGGGCGGTCCCCAGCACGTCCAGGCAGATTTTGCCTCGCCCCACCCTGCTGATGGGGTGCAGACGGGGACCCGGAAGTGTGGCCCAAGGGCCTGAGGACGGGCGAGAACTGGACAGCACCAAAGGCCCTTTGTCCCCTTGGTGCCCCCATCCTTCTGATGGGGTCCCTGCCTCTCCCACACGCCCCCTGCCCGGATGCCCATCTGGTTAGACACAACTGGTTTCCACTCGGGTCCTCATCTCCCAGGGCGGTTTCTGGCGTCCCTGCTCCTCAGCGGAGCCTGGAGCTACCTCCGTGCGGGGTCAGCACCAGGGCGGCTTCCTTTTTAGCTGAGGCGTGTTCTGAAGGATGGGGCTAAAAAGAGAACATTCCTCGGCGGGCCAGGCTTCTTGGGCAGATTCCTAGTGGGGACTTGGTCCAACGCGGACCCGTGTTGTGTCACTTAAGATGGGCTCAGTTGCGCGGGCAGCCCTGGCGTGCTCTGCTCTGTTGGAATCCAGCCCGGGACACAGCCTGGTGTCCGGCGTCTGGGAGCTGCCCGGCTCCCCCAGGCCCGGGCTTCGCTGCCACCTCAGCCGGCATGTTTCGGGGCTGCTGTGAACGGGGACCTCGGGGATGTGCCCCGGGTGTCACGTGGGGAGCAGGTGTGGTTGGTGCTCACAGATGCTGCACGGGCCTCCGGGTGGGGGGTGGGCGCTGAGTGCCGGCTGGCTTCCTGCTCTGTTCCAGGATCATCCAGCAGCTGGTTAACGGCATCATCACCCCGGCCAGCATCCCCAGCCTGGGCCTGGGCCCTTGGTGAGTAGGTGGGCGGGTCCCCTAGCGCCCTGCCCGGCCCCTCTGCCACTTGAACCCCAGACCTCTCTGCCCAGGGGCGTCCTGCACTCAAACCCGATGGACTACGCCTGGGGGGCCAACGGCCTGGATGCCATCATCACGCAGGTACAGGGTGCGGTGCCCGAGGTGGGCACCGGGTGTCACCATCTTTCCTTCTGCTGAGGACGAGGCTACCAGAGGATGAAAGGGTCCCTGGTGTGGATGCCCTGCTCCCCAGTTCTCCATAACTCCCATCCTGGGGCTGGGGTGCCCCACGTGGACCTCCACAGTGTCCTGAGCTGTCCTTGGGATGGGGTGGTCCCCGTGACCCTGGCAGGCCTCGTGAGGGCTCGCACTGGGGAGGCTGTGGCGCTTGGCCAGGGCAGGATCCAGTGCCTGGGCGGGATCCCCGGTGCTGGGAGGGGTCACCCTGGGTGCAAAGTGACCCTGACTGGATGCGCAGACGGGTGGGGAGGAGCGTGGGGCTCAGCTTTGTTGGGGTGGCCAGGGACCTGGAAAAACACAGCCTTGGTGCTTTTGCAGGTAACCCAGCCTTGCATTTCAGAGCCCTGCGGGGCGAGGGGCCGCGCCTGCCTGCCGAGCTCCCGGCACTCTGGCCTCTTGTCTTTCAGCTCCTCAATCAGTTTGAAAACACAGGCCCCCCGCCTGCAGACAAAGAGAAGATCCAGGCCCTCCCCACCGTCCCCGTCACTGAGGAACATGTAGGTGCGTAGCTCTCGGCCGCTGGGCGGCTTTCCCTTTCCCAGCAGTGCCCCGCGGGGCACTCACGGGCTCCTGTCCCGCAGGCTCCGGGCTGGAGTGCCCCGTGTGCAAGGACGACTACGGGTTGGGGGAGCGGGTGCGGCAGCTGCCCTGCAGTCATCTCTTCCACGACGGCTGCATCGTGCCCTGGCTGCAGCAGGTGAGCGCGGGCCGCGGCCGTGGGGGGCCCCCGGGCGCTGCGCCTCTGACCCTCCCCCCGTGTCCCCACAAAGCACGACAGCTGCCCTGTGTGCCGGAAAAGTCTCACGGGACAGAACACGGCCACCAACCCCCCAGGCCTGACCGGCGTGAGCTTCTCGTCGTCCTCGTCCTCCTCGTCCTCCAGCTCGCCGAGCAACGAAAACCCAGCCGGCAACTGCTGAGCCCCCGCCTCCCTCCGGCGGCCCCCACAGTGAGCACAGGACCCCACCCACACCGGGCCCTGTGGGGCGGTGGGCGGGGGGCACCACGGAGCCGGAGCCTGGAGTTGCCCCATCTGCCTTGGCTCCCACACCGCCCCCCCCCCCGCCGTGGGCAGAGACTCGGAGGACCGCCGCCTCCAGGCTGGCATCTGGCACAGGGGCCTGGGCACACGGCACCCCTGGGGGCGTCCCCAGCTCCCCTACCCATCTGTCTCTAACCTCACCCTCCACACAGCAGCGGCGGAAAGGTTTTTATAATTTTAAATTATTACCGCTTTGAAATAAACGGACGTTTGAGCTCACACGCGGCCGTGCATGATCTCTGGAAAGACCGGGTGGAACCGTGAGGCCGGGGTCTCTGTGATGCCCGGACAGGCTGCCAGTCCCCAGCCCGGGTATCCCCGGCCCAGGCGCAGGGGGCTCGGGACCACGGGATGACCAGCAAAACAAGAACAAAACTGCTCCGACAGACGTTTTTTAAAGGAAAAAAATATGTGTATCTTGAAAGCTATTTAAAAATACACCTACTTAGAAAGAGAAGCAGGTGGTTGGTGTTTTCCTTCTGCGCGGGCGCTGGGGGCGGGCTGAGCTATGGCGCTTCTGCTGGCCGCGGACCCCGACCCGCGAGCTCGCCAGCAGCCCCCCTGCTGGAAGACGACAGAGCTTCCCTGGGGGTGGACCCAGCTGCTGGGAAGCCCCAGCCACCGAGGACCAGCGGCCCCCCCCGCCCGGCCGCCCCCGCCCGCGGCGAACATCCTCTGGTCAGCACGCCCTGGCTGGCACCTGCTCCCTGGCTTCACTCTCCATGTTTTAAGTGGAAGGTGGCTGCTGAGAGGGTGGGCGACTGCATCCCGCCCCAGGGACTGCCTCCCGGGGTGGGACACCTGAGCCGACCCACCTGGCCCAAGGCTGCAGAGCTGGGCTTTGAACCTGGGCTCTTCCCTCTGCCCCTTTTCTGTCTGCTGGGGCTCAGCCTGGGGGTGAGGGCTCAGGGGTGCTGGGAGGGCAGCAGGCACGGCCACCCCAGGTTCCCCTGAGCCCCTGGAGGATGCAGACACGGAGCCCCTGTGGCCTGCACGTGCCCTCTCCAACTCCCCGACCCACTGCGCCTGCTCCACAGGAGCGGAGGGGCCCTGGCCGCGGCTGCCCTTCAAGCAGCTTCAGACCGCGCGTGTGTGCATGTGCTTCTGTGTTCATTCTATGCCCTGTGACCACCACACACCGATTCCCTGACAGTTCTAGGCTCAGAAATACAGAAAGGAAGGCTCATCGCCTTTCCCCAGGGCCCCAGGGAGACCCGACTCCTGCCCTTTCCTGGCCTGCGGTCCCCCTCCATCCTCCCTGTCAGCAGCACGGGGTCTGCCCGTCTCTGGGACCTCTGCCCTTTGCCTCCCTCTCGTAAGAACCTGGTGAGGACGCTGGCCCCCTCAGGAACCCAGAGTCACCCCCACCTTGGGGCCCTGACAAGGTCCCCTCTGCCGCGGGAGGGGACATGTCCCAGCTCCCGGGACGAGGACGGGGACCTCTTACCCTGTGGCACGTCCATGTTGCCCTCTCTCCCCCAGCCCTCAGACCTTGCTCTGCCCGAGCCTCTCCCAACCTACCTGCCTCAGACACCCCAATGGGCTCCCATCACAGAGCCTTTGCCTAGGCCGTGTCCCAGCCCTTCTGGTGACACATGGCCATGTCCATCATGGGCCTCCGTGGCCCAGCTTGTGACTGGATACCTGTGGCCTCTGCTCAGCTCAGTGTCCACCTCCCCCCCAACTCAGGCACTCCTGGGGGTCAGGTCATGTCCGTGGGGACCTGCAGTGCCCCCAGCCTGGCACCTAGCCCACACTCCATGAATGCTTGGGGAGAAGATGAGTGACCAGACCGGCTTGGCCACGGCCTGGACCTCACCGGCCCCAGGCCCCTGGCTGTGCAGCTCAGGCATCCTGCAGACCTGGGGTCTCAGGAGACCAGGACGGGCAGGAAGTGGGTGGACAGGTGGTGCCGCTGTGTCCGGCCGCCACGCCGTGGGGCCCCCTGCCCATCCAGTGCCAGGAACATGGGCCGGCCACGGTGACGCCAGCGGAGTGAGGCGTAGGTGTTGTAGCCGTTCTCCTCGATGCGCTCCTGGAACCTGCAGTGGGCAGTGTAGACCCGCTTCGGGGGGTCGGGCGTGTGAGGCGGGCCCGGACCCCCTGCTCCCCCCCAACACCCACCCACCAGATACCCCTCACACTGCACTCACCGACCCGTAGAGGCGGCCCCTGCGGTTCATGGCCACGTAGAAGCCCGTGTGCACAGCCTTGAGGACCACGACGCCCACGCGGATGGAGCGGATCTCAATGATGCCTGGGGGTGGGGGGTGGGGCAGGGCTCAGGGCCGGCAGCCCACCGTCCACTCCCCTGCACACTCCCACTGGCGCTCACGTGTTCACCCAGCCCCTGCCGTGAGCTTGGCCTTGTGCTGGGTGTGCTGACACAGGGGGCACACAGGCCCTGCTAGGAGCACCCCAGGGTGGGGGTGGGAGGGGCAGGAAGGACACTGAAGCCAGTGTGAAGGCCTGAAGCAGGATGGGCCCTGCGGTGGGGGGGGACTCAGGGCGATGATCAGCTCCATGGTGGTCACTGCCACTGCAGGAGCCCCATATGCCAAGCACTGTCCCCCACAACCCCAGGTGGGAGGGGCCGATGTGCCTGCTTCCCAGAGGGGGAACCTGAGGCCTGGGAAGTGGCAGATGGGAGACCCTGGAGAAGACTTGCCTACTTGGAGTGGTCCAGAGAGGCTGACCCAGGGGATGACCAGGCCTATTCTGGAGTTCAGGCCTTGCCCTCTGGTCTTCAGTCTGGACTTGGATGCCTAAGGTGATGGGGAGCTCACCCTATGTCACATGGGGCCTCTGTACCTGCTCTCTCTCCTATCAGGCACCCAGCTCCTTCTCTCTACATGAGAATCAACTCAAGCCCACCTCCTTGGAGAGCCCCCAGACTTCTCCGGTAAAGCTGCCCCTCCGTCATCTCATGTACATCACCCTGTTTTCATTTTCTTTGCTCCCTACATGGCCACCCGTGAAATTACTGCATCAGTCATTCACTTGTTGAACCGCTTTACCCACTGCTGTGGGAGCCCCATGATGGTGGGCTGTCCTGGTCGCTGCTTTGTGCCCCTGTGCCCACTACAGCATACAATAGGTACCCAATCAATATCCACAGAATTAAAGAAAGAGAAAAGCTCCAAGAGCCTCCCTCCACAGAGCTGTCAACCACGTCACCACCATTGCTGCCCAGATGGGGAAACCGAGACTCAGAGAGAAGCAGTGACTGTCCCAACCCACCCAGGAGATCCAGGCCCCACACCCAGCCTGAAGACACCCTGCCTGCCTGTGCCCACCAACGATGAACTGGCCCAGCCAGTCCCCTTGTCGTTGTCCTTGTCCGGTGAGCCTAATGAGAGCCTTGGGCGCCCAATGAAAGCAGATGGAAGGGCAGGGGGTGATTACCTGCCCTAATGGTGGTGATTCAGGTAGTGGCCAGTGATTAGCCATCCCCAGTCTGGGCCTCAGAGCTCTGGGCAGACCAAGACAGGGCCGCAGGGTCACGGAGGCTCTAGATCCCCAGCAATCCCCGGGCTCCTCCTTCTCCTTTGCCCCCCCTGCCTCCTCTTGCCTCCTACATTCCACACTTATTGAGTGCCTACTGTTTGCTGGGCAGGGCGTCAGGGACAGTGATTCCAACTTGACAAGGTTCTGGGCATTAAGGAGCCCCAGCAACACCCCCACCCTGACCCCAGCAGTGTGACCCTTGGGCAGGTCATTTTCCCTCTCTGTCCCTCATCTACCAAAATGATGTGTGGGAAGCAAGACAGGGGTCCCTCACTCCAGCAAGTTCTGAGTTTGGATGTGCAGTGTGGGGAGTCCAGGGCTCAGACCCTAGCTCTGCTTCCACTTCTTTATGCAGCCGGGGCCTGGGGTGGGGGCTTCCAGGAGCAGCCATCTCCCCCCTCCCCCCCCCCCCCCCAAAAGGGCCCCGGGGTCCCCACCCCCACTACTGTGCCGCGGAGCCGGGCCAGCGCTAGGAGCTTCCTCTGCGACGCTTACCTCAACTGCCCAGCCCTCTCAGCGCGGGCGCTGGACCCACTGCACAGCTGGGGAAACTGAGGCCCCAGCAGACACTACACACCCTTACGGGACAGAGGACCCGGCTGGTCCTTATCACCGCTGCTGCCCCTGGTCCTTCCCGCCGGCCTGTCTGCCCCGCACCTCTCCCCGAACTCACTGTCGGCGCCGTGGCGCCAGCGGGTGCCCTGCACGCGGCCGCTGGTGTCCACGCGCAGGAAGAAGTGCGTGGAGGAGAAGAGGCGCCGCCAGCGCACGTCGCCCTCCAGGTGCGGGTAGCTGCGTGGTCTCCGCGGACTGTCCGGGGTCCCCGCGGCGCCGGGCGCCCGTGCCAGCAGCAGCCACACCAGGCCCAGCCACAGGCGGCCGCGCATCGCCCCGCGCCCCGATCGCCGCCGGCTCTGCCTCCCCGCCGCGCGTCCGCGGCTCGGCCATCGCCGGGGCGGGGGCGGGGCGCCTCTGCCGGGCCAGCCCGCGCGGGCCAATAGGGAGTCCGGGGGCGGGGCCTTCGCCGCAGGGGGCGGGTCAGGGGAGACAGGGCGGGGCCGTGGGCCAGGAGCCGACCAGTGGAGAGGCGGCGGCAGGCCAGTGGGCGGGGCGTCGGGCGGGCTCAGAGCCTCGGGGGCGGGGCGACGAGGCGACTGGGCGGGGCCAGGATGCGGGGCGGGGCCCATTCGGGAAAACTCTCCTGCCTCCGCGCGTGTTTGTCTTGCGGGGCGGGGAGGGTAGTGCGTGTCCGTGAGTCACCGGCTTAGCCTGCAGGGGCTGCGGGGGTGTGGGTGTGAGAGAGGCGGGCCCGCAGAGACACGGAGGGAGACAGAGACACAGACAGCTCCAGGGAGAGACGCGGGGAAGGGCTGCGAAGAGTCCGGTCTGTGAGGGACAGGAAGCTGGGCAGGGGGACAGGGAGCAGTCAGAGACCAGGGGGTGGGCGGCTCTGGCCTGCGTGTCTGCGCCAGCCAGGCCTCTGCACTGGGCATGCCCCGGGGGGCCTTGTCTGCTCCCCAGGAGGCAGGCCCTCAGGGTCTTCCCTGAGGGCTGGGCACGGGCGGACGTGTGGGTAGAGGGACTGTGGTGCATACCGGTGTTACGCGGGGGCAGCGATGGGGTGCTGAGGCGGGAAGGGGGCTGACGGCGGACCCGCATGTGTGCATGTCTGTGGCCAGCCGGCAGGGCATGGACGATGACTGGGGCCAGCATCCCGTCCCCATCATCCTCCAGAGCTGCATGTCCAAGGAGGATCGCTCCTTTTCCACCCACACCTGCTTGTCATTTACAGACACACCCAAGCCCCACAGGGAGCCACTCCGTGTCCTGGATCCTGACAGGAGCACAGTGAACCCCCATGGACTCAGAGTCGAGAGACATCATTGATAGGTGCGGGGACTGAGGCCCGAGGGGGTCAGCACCTTCCCCAAGGCCCCACACAGGCCACATCCCAGGACTTGAGTCCCTGCCCCTCTGCTCCCCTAGACCCAGTTCTACAGGCAGGGCCCCAGATGGCACCTTTTAAGAGCACCTGGGCAAAGACAAGGTGACAAGCCTGGCCCAGTGGAGTGCTGGAGGGGTAGCCGGTCTCGCCAGAAGCCAGGATGTCTTCCTGGTGGCTCTGGGGATTCCCTGATCCTTCCTTCTGGTTCCAGGAAGGCCATGTATGGGGTGTGCCCGAGCCGCAGGACCCCAGGACTGAGATGGGAGAGGGTGTCCCCAGAGCCCTGCGGCCAACCCCTGAGGGATCCTGCGTATCTGTGTCACCTCCCCAAGCCTCAGTGACACCTCTGGAAAATGGGCCAGGTGAGAAGGCTGGAAGGATGGGATGAGGTAATCCACAGCATCACTGGGCAGAGAGCGCAATGCACAAACTTGGAACAACATCCTGATTCCCACCAGCCAGAAACTCAGTCTTCCCTTCCTGGAGTGTCCCCACCCTGCCCTCCAGGAGGACAATCTTCGGGGATCTGTGTGATGGGGGTGGGACCCACGCCCAGGGACGCCCAGGAAGCTGTCCTGCCCCAGGAGTTGTTGGAATTTAATAGCAGCTTCATTGAAATAAAATTCACATACCACACATTTCAGCCATACAAGTGTACAACTCAGTGTTTTCAGAACAGGGCTGTCAGCTGTCACCTCTATCTAGTTCCCAAACATTCCATCACCCCAAAGGAAACCCCATCCCATCAACCATCACTCCCCTAGCCCCCGGGCCTTGCGATCTCCCTTCCCGTCCGTGGAGAAGCCTGGTCTGGCCGTGTCACACGCATGGACTCAAGCCCTGTGTGGCCTTGTGTGTCTGATTCCCTCCCTGTGCATCGTGGGCTCCGGTCTGTCCCTGGGGCGGCACGTGGGGGCCTCACTCCTGCTGGAGCCAGAGATGCTCCCGCGTGTGGGGGACGTGTTGTCTGTAACATTCTGCCAACGGACACTATTCTGGCTGCTGTGGACGGTGCTGCCCCGGACCTGGCTGTACGGGTTTTTATGTGGACATGTGTCTTCACCTTTCTCGTGTATATGTATAGGAGCAGAGCTGCTGGGCCATGTGATCACGACTGTTTCCCACGGCGGCTGCCCCAGCCACCTCCCACCAGCAGGGCGCCGGGGTTCCGATGTCTGTTGTCCCCAGATGCTGGCGAGTGCCCACTGTCTTGGCTGTAGCCATTGTAATGGGGGCAAAGTGGTGTCCCTGCGAGCACCTTGCACCTGCATCCCCGGTTCCGTCCGTTTTGCTCTCCGTCAGCAGGAGGCTGAGTAAATAGTGCGGCAACTGTGCCCCGGAAACAACAGTGTGCACGAGTCTCATCCAGGAGGTCGTTTCTGTCGCAGTTCTCAATGGGCAAAACCAAATTTGGCGTGAGGCATCAAGATGGGGGGCATCACGCTGGCAGCCAGCGATGGGGCTGCGATGGGTGCCGGGGGGCTGGGTGCAACATCGAGCTGTATTCCTGACATGTGCAGTGTGACGTCACACCTCGAGAAACGCACAGGTGCAACCATTTTACGTAAGCGGCTATTTTAGAACGAGCCCCCGAGCCACTGCCACCTCATCTCCAAGCACGTGGACGTGTCTCCTGCGGGTGTGGCCAGCCTGTGATCCAATCCCCCACCTGCGCTCAGACAGCCCTTGCTGTCCCCATGACACCTTAACTTCTCCCTCGTCACAAACGCAGGCTAGTCTGCGATCAGCTGAAGAACGGCCCTCGGAGACGGGCCCATATTCTCCTCCCAGGCACCTGTGGAAGCATCGGCAGTCTTGGGTACAATTAAATTCAGATCACCCTGGGGCGCCTGGGTGGCTCAGCAGGTTAAGCCTCTGCCTTCAGCTCAGGTCATGATCTCAGGGTCCTGGGATCGAGCCCCGCATCGGGCTCTCTTATCAGTGGGGAGCCTGCTTCCCCCCCCCCCGCCTGCCTCTCTGCCTACTTGTGATCTCTGTCTGTCAAATAAATAAATAAAATCTTTAAAAAAAATAAATTCAGATCACCCGATGAGGAACTGTCCTAGCAGGCCCCAAGTACTGTCACAAGGGTCTTTATAAGAGAGAAATACAGGGAGATTTGACACGGACACAGAGGAGCCCACGTGACCACGGAGGTGGGGACCAGAGGGGCGCAGCCACAGCCAAGGGGTGCCTGGAGCCCCCGAAGCTGGAGATGGCGGGAACAACCCTGCGCCGGGAGCTTCTAGCGGGAGCACGGCCAGGCAAGCCCTTGATTTCAGTGGACACCGAGGGTGGGTGTCTGCTGGGCTGGTTTCCAGAAATGGAAGAATACATTCCCCTTGTTGAAGGCACTAGGTGTGTGGTAATTCAGTTTTGTTTTGTTTTTTAAGATTTACTTATATATTTTTGGAGAGAGAGAGAGAGCAGGGAGGGGGAGAGAGAGATCTCAAGCCGACTCCACACGGAGCAGGGCCTCGTTCGACGTGGGGCTCGGTCTCACGACCCTGAGATCACAACCTGAGCAGAAACCGACCATGCCACCCAGGCGCCCCGGTTTGTGTAGCTGACCACCCGCAGTCCCAGGGATCCGACAGCCTCTCCTTCCCTCTAGAGATCCTTGACTTTGTCGACACGGGCCCGGCCCAGGTTCGTGGGAACATCTCGGGGCAAGAATTGGACCAAACGTTTTGGGTGAGAACCCGAAGGAAGCAAACGGCTTCTGCAACACAGTGTCCCCCGAACCCCATCCTCTGACGCTCTGCTTCCCATGCAGTCGTACCTCTGCCCACCGGCCTTGTGTGTTATTCCCATTTTTCTTGCTTACGTTTTACAAGGAAACGTGATCTCACCATGAGGGGTGGAACACCAGAGCCGTGCACGGACTCAAGCCGGAACAGGAGACGCGGCGAGGAGAGCGCCGTGGGACAGACCCTCAGACCGCAGCTTCGCGGGCAGAGAGCTGAGTCAGAGCCAGGCAGGTGCGGAGGGACACCTGCCACGGTCGAGCGGGAGCGGAAAGAATAACCTCCTCGCTCCTCGTTCCCGGCCCAGCCCTTGGGGAAATGCTGGTTGAGGGCATCTGATGCGCCAAGGAACAGGAGAGGGAACGGAGACACAAAGAATTCCGGAATGTTGCCGTTCAGCCCGGGTTCCCGGCTCGGCCAGGCTACGGGGGCAGGGGGGTGTCAAGGGGGTGTCTCTAGGTCTTGGGAGACCGGCTCCAACTGATTCAGCCCCCAGGCCCAGGAAGGCACTCCCAGGTGTGAGTCAGATCTGAGGCCGAGGCCCCCAGGGCATCTCGGAGTGGGCCGGGGCAGGTTTTCGAGGACGCTGCGGAAGACATTCCCAGCCGGTGGAATCATAGCGCGCGAGCCCGCGTGGGCAGCTGCGTCTGGAATGTGCTGTCAAGAGGCCCCGGGCCCAGGAGGCTGGCCCTCCCAGAGCACAGGTCCGGCTTCTACTCCGGCCTGATGCGGTAACCAAGTCTGAGTATCTGAGGGCAGGCGGCAGCTTGAGCCCTGGTCCCTGAGGTCCCCGTGGTCTGGCCGGAGGGCCTCGCTAGCTTTGTCTCTGCTCCCTCCCCCTAACTCCGACTCTGCTCAAGTTCCTCCAGCTGCCCACACCTGACTCGGCCTCAGGGCCTTTGCACTTGCTGGGGACGCTGCCTGGAACACAGCTACCCCAGAGTGGTCTTCTCGTCCTTCCCATGCCAGCTGACGCGCTCTTCCTGGCCTCAGTCTCCCCAGTGCCCTCCCAGTCTGATTCTCACGCTGGACTGGGGTCGCCCTCAAGGCGGGGGCTGGGAAGCTCCAGGCTCCGCGGATTATCTCGTCCCATTCGTCATCCAATCAAACCGGGAGGTTCGTGCGCTCTAGGTGCCCACCGGAGCTCGGGAGCTGACTGGTGCAGAAACTGAGCCCCGAGGGAGTGGCCGAGGGC